TGGTGCACGAAACTCCCTTTTAATTCCAACAGTGGCTCTGAAGAAGTCCTGTAGCCTTCTCAAGTGGGTGATGATAAATTGATCCCTTCACAAGTAGAAACTTGCAGCCTCAGCAGGAGCATTTAAACCTTGCCGAAGCCTCTGCCATTTCCTAACTGAAGGGGACGGCACAGGGCGCCCAAGTCCTCAAATGTTTCAGAATGGAGGATCAGCACAACTGCTGCTGCCTTTTCAGCATATCTGTTTGCTGGACAGCTCCCTGCTAGCTGCGGCAAAGCTATGGCGCGCTGGCGCAAACCCTGCCTCTACTTCGGGACCCTTAAAGTAGAAACCTCATTGGCAATGAAATCTTCTCTCATTGCCCAGTTGCTTCTCTGACGTACATCATCTTTATCCTTCCCTGAATGTGTTTTGCTTTCTGAAAAAAGGGGAATGTTCTCCCCCCTTTGACTTGAAACTTCATTAATACTCTAGTCTCAACACTGTGCTACCCAGTTCAAGATGTGTTCCACCCTAGAAAAAAAATGTGGCCCCCATTTCTACCTGGTTATCCATCCTTAGAAGTCATGTCCACTGACACCACTAGGACTCATTTCCTTCCTCATTTTGTTCTAGCTACATAGCTTTTGAAAGGAGCTGCAAGGGCTCCATCTTCAAATCTTTTGCTGCAGAAAGTGTCCTTCTTAAATACAAGCTACTTCTGGGTGAATTGCAACCCAAGCCCAATGACAGGCATATCAAGTAGGCTGGTTTAGGGGGCTCCCAGATTTTCATTCAAATAGAGCTTGATCATGAACCAGTGGAGAAGCTTGTCCTACAGCAGTCCCCCCCCCCCAACTTGGTGCCCTTCACAGGTTTTGAACTACAGCTCCCAACGTTCCTGACTGGAGGAATGAGGGGCTACTGGAGGAAACTGAACTTGAAAACTTCTAGAGGACCCAGGTTGAAAAAAGCTGCCCCATGGACACTGCAGGGACTGAGGAAATCAGTGAGATTATCGAAGTCAAGTTTCAGTCTTCATGTATGTTTTGGACTGTGGCCAATGAAGCTCCTGTAGGATTTTGGAAGAGATGGAAAAGCAGGAACAGCAGCAGCTGCCACCGCCAAGAGGAGAATGTTCAGCGTTTCCTATGATGGGCTTCAGCACTCCAGAAACCGCACCAAAAATGAAAGAATCCCTTGCAAGAGTTTTGCCCTACCTGAAGGCAGCCTATCTTGGTGGGGGGCAAGAGCATACTCTAGTGTTGGGGTGGGGGAGGCATGCACCAGTCTGGATTCTGTGGCAGAGTTACTATCTACAGGGACAAGGAGTGGATTAGTCAAGGGCACCAGTTTTTCTGGGTGCTCTAACGAGCAGAGTTTGCAGGGAGAGGGGGAACTTCCTTGACATTCCTTCCCGGCTGCTTCATCCCAGTTAAAATCGAGCTTGTTGCTTGCAACTTAGACCAGCCAATGCCACCTCTTAACTGAAGTCGCTTCAGGTTAGCCAAATGTCCGGCACAAATGTCCATGAGATTAAAGGACACTCAACAGATTACTGTTGCTTTCGGTGCTCATCTGAAGAGAGAAGGCACGAAAGCACCAGCACCCAGCTGCACGTTGCAACCAAGTCATCACAGTGCCATGAATGGCTACAACTCTCTGCCAGGTGACACAGTTAAGGGTGAGAATATGGGTTGGGTTGGGGCAGAATCTTTCTTTCTCCACCTCTGCTACATGGTGAATCATTTACCCTCAAGCAGCAGTAGGTTGGAGGTGTCTGTGCATGTGTGGTTGTTATACAGGTAATTCAGAAGAAAAGTCTTTCCTCTTTTGCTTTGCATCGCAGGCAGGAGAGACTGAAGACCCGAATCTTGCTAAAAAGCAGCAGAGTGTCCCACAAGTATTCTTTAAATGCGAAGCAGGGTGGGTCAGGCAGAGGTGGGGGGGGGCACTAGAAGCCAGCTGCAAGCAAGCGCACACCGAAGTGTGCAAGAATGAGCTTCCATGGGTCTGACACAAACGTCACCAAGGAACACTCAAGTCACATTTCAAGGGCCATCACTGAGGGTCAAAAATTTCCTTGAGAGTACAGCCCCTTGAACTGGGTGGCATTTACTTACACCCAAAGGACTGCTAGCAAACTACATGGGAATCTCTTTGTAGAACAGAAGCATGATGAACATTTTAATGACCACATTTAGGATCGTTGGCCCACATAATAAATGGGTAATAACCCAACTTTGGCTCATAAAAGCACAAGGCTTTCCAGGTAGAATGCCCAAGTCCAGCTGTCATTTAGGATGCTGTAGAGACCCATAAGGGCGAGCACATTGTGGTGTGTATCTTCCTGCCCATGTTGGCATAGAAGCCCAAGCAAACAAACAAACAAAAATACTTAAAACAACTCCTCCCAAAGTTGATCTCCTAAATTTATCTGCCTGAAGTTGGTCTTCCAAAAGGTGCAGGTGTGTGTAGCCTGCCTGCATTCAGAGAAAGGATTAGTTGGACATGATCTAGGAACTCTTTAAAAGAAATTGGCTGAAAGTGCGGAAGCTGAGATCTATCCTATACACCTGCTGATCTGACCAAAACCCCATCCAGTCAATGTGCAGAAGTTCTATCTGCACGCTGGCTACCCATACAACTCTTCTGACTGAAATGTTTCTTGTTTATATTTTTTAAAAGAAATTTGTGTCACTTGCAAATCACTTTGGGAGCCGTTGGCACTGAATGGCAACCCGTATGTAGAAGCCTTAGTAAATAAAGCGATGCGCGAGCTGGCTAGGCACGAACCTTGTATCTAAGTAAAGGCAGCGTCGTTTCTAATGCACTGCGCACCACGGTCGGTAGCTGCAAATTTCATGCTGGCCGATCCTAAGCATTTTTGCTCAGAGAGGTCTCACTAAGCGCTTACTGATGTCCCGCTTAATTTATTTTCTTCCTTTTTCATGCCAGGAACCCAAGGCAGTTTACATAATCCTCCTCTCCATTTATCCCGACAACAACAGTGTGAAGGCAGGCTGTGATCCACTCAAGAGAAACCGGTGAGTTTCATGGACAGTGCAGACCAGAACCTGCATCTGCAGAGTTCTGCCCACCGGAACCTCTGGAGCACACGGGCTCTTTGTGCGCTCTGTCTCCCGGCCACATCTGCCACGCGTTTTCCCTAATCAGGCACAGACCGACGTATTGCCGGACGATCTAGGGGAAGAGAAAGTCCCGCATCGTCCGAGGGAACTTGCTTCCAAGTAAATGCGAGCAGGGGAGTGGAAATGTCGCTTGCAAAGGCGCAGGGGAGTGGGAATGCTCCATTTGCAGTGGCGCGGAGTGCAAATCCTCCGCGGCTAAATACTTGGCGGCTTCCGTTCCGTTGGGCAGATAAGGCAGAGCTGGCAGAGAGGGGTGTTCGCTTGCACAGACTCTCCGCTCAGACGGAGTAAGCCGAGAAAAGAGCAACTTCCCCCGCTCCGCTCCGCAGGACTCTGCACTGCAACCAGTTCAGGACAAGCACGGAAACCCCGTGCACGTCCACAAAGAAGTGAGTCCTATTGAGTCCAATGAGGCTTTTACTCCCAAGGACATGAATATACGGCTGCAGCCAAAGTCAGATTCTGTGCAAGCGCGACGGTCTAACTGGACTGTGGATCAGGTCGCCAGGTAATAGAGAGCGGCCTCGTTTGCTCCCGCCGCCTGGCCAGGCCAGCAGAAGCGACCTGCCGGGGCAGAACAAGGTCCGTTGGCCAGCCTACCAAGACCTCAAGGCAGCCCCCCTCTCCGGGGCTCTGCGCCTCTGACCGAGGAGGCGCCCCTTGGGCTGCCACGGGTCCCACGCCCATCAGCCTTCCCCGACAGCTGCCCCCGGGTGGGGTGACTGGACCTAGCGCCCTTGCCGCCCACGTCTGCGCAGGGTCCCGGGCTGGGGAAAGGGGTCGGGCCAGCCAGAGCAAGGCCGTCCGTGGCCAGACCTGACTCCCACACCCAGCAGCCGCGAAGCATGCCTACCTGGGTCGCCACGGGGGGCCATCCCGCGCTCCCTCCTTCCAGGGCGGCGGAGGCGTTTTAGAGCAGTGGGGAGCACGCGCCAGTTCGAAGGGGCGTCTGAACCCTCCCCGGCAGGCAAAGGGGGCACGAAGATGACGAACTCGGGCTGGAGAGGTGCGGGGGAAGAGGAGGGACCCGCTCGCCGCCGTCGGTGCTAGGACCCGGCGGCGTCCTCGCGGGGCAGGCAGGGGCGGGGCGGGGCGCGGGCGAGGGGCCGGAGCTCAGTGACAGCGGCCGCGAGTTGCCTGGCGGGGCTCGCGCGGAGCGGAGCGGCGCGGAGCCGGAGCGGCGCTGTATATATAGAGCGAGCGCGCGAGCGGGCGAGCCGGCGCGAGGTGCGGCAGGGGCTGCGCGCCCTGCTCCCGGGCCGCCTCTGCCGGGCAAGTCCGCCTCTCCGGGCTCGCGGCGCCTCGTAAGGGGCGCCCCATCCCGTGCGCTCGGCTCGCCGCCCGCCGCCTCGGCCGGCCGCCCCCGGCGAAAGTTGCCGCACTTGGCGGCGCCCGCGAGGTCGGAGGAGGGTCCGCCGCCCGTCCTGCCCGGCGCGCGAGCGGGCGCGCCCTGCGGCTCGCTCGGGCAGCCGCGCCGGTGCCGCCGCTCCCAACTTCGCCGCGCCGCTCGCCTCTCCTGTGGCCGCCTCCGCGGGCGGAAAAGTGGCAAGATGGAGCCCCGCCGCGCTCGGGCGAGCGGCTGCGGCTGCCGCCGGCGGAGACGGTCTCGCCCGGAAGCCCGCACGTGCTGAGGCGCCGGCCGACGGTGGCGGAAGGTGGGTGGGCCGGCGGGCGGCGGCGCAGCCATGGTCCGCCTGGGCGCGGGCGGCGTCCCCATTGGGTGAGCCCATGCACACGCTCCCCCGCCGGCCCGCCGGCCCGAAGACCGGCTCGGGCGCGGGCTTCTCCTGGGATGAGGCGGGCTGCGGGGCCGTCGCCCTGCCCGGGCTGCTGCTGAGTCCGCGGCCCCGTCGCGGCCGCTCGTGAGGCATGGAGCAGCCCAGGCTCTGCCGGTCCGGGCTGGACGGTCTGAGCGCCTTCCGCGCCAACGACTCGGATCAGGTCCGGAACTGCAGCGCTCAGGAGAGCTCCGTCTACCAAGATGGCACCCCGCTCTCCTGGAAGGTTGTCCTGACCATCATCCTGGCCCTTATCACCTTGGCCACCATACTGTCCAATGCTTTTGTCATCGCCACCGTCTACCAGAGCCGCAAGCTCCACACACCAGCCAACTATCTCATTGCCTCCCTGGCCGTCACTGACCTCCTGGTATCCATTCTGGTCATGCCAATCAGCACCATGTACACTGTGACTGGGAAATGGACCCTGGGCCAGATTGTCTGTGACATCTGGCTCTCTTCGGATATCACTTGTTGCACTGCTTCCATTCTCCATTTGTGTGTGATCGCACTGGACAGATACTGGGCCATCACGGATGCAGTGGAGTACTCTACCAAAAGGACGCCCAAGAGGGCAGCTGTCATGATCGCCCTGGTGTGGATCTTCTCCATCTCTATCTCAATCCCCCCTTTGTTCTGGCGCCAGTCAAAAGCTGAAGAGGTGGCTGATTGCGTGGTGAACTCTGATCACATCTTGTACACCATCTACTCCACAGTGGGAGCCTTCTACTTCCCCACCTTGCTGCTGATCATTCTCTATGGAAGGATCTATGTGGAAGCCAGATCTAGAATTTTGAAACAGACGCCAAAGAACACAGGCAAACGGTTAACCAGAGCTCACTTAATTACGGATTCTCCAGGGTCAACATCATCTGTCACTTCCATAAACTGCAAGGCCTCAGAGGTCTCCAGTGAGACAGGATCACCTGTGTATATGAACCAAGTTAGAGTGAAGGTGTCAGATGCCTTGCTGGAAAAAAAGAAGCTGACAGCTGCCAGAGAGCGGAAAGCTACCAAGACTTTAGGGATTATTTTAGGAGCCTTCATCGTGTGCTGGCTGCCCTTCTTCATCATCACTTTGGTGTTGCCTATTTGTAAAGATGCTTGCTGGTTTCACATGGCCATCTTTGACTTCTTCACATGGTTGGGATATCTTAACTCTTTGATCAACCCCATCATCTATACCATGTCTAATGAAGACTTCAAGCAGGCATTTCACAAATTGATACAGTTCCGATGCAGAAGTTGAATTCTGAATGCAGCTTAACTATAATTCTCCAGGGCGGGAGGCTTGAATGCATTTTGTTTGTCTGGTTCTGCAGGTAGGTGGATAATTCTTACCATCTTGCTGTCTCTGTGGAAAGTGATACTCTCTTTTAATGGCACAGCTGAGTTCAGTTTAGAGTTTGCTACACATGCAAACATAGTGTAGCTTCCCTTCCCAGGTGGAAGTTTCTGTAAAACAGCCTCCTTCTGAGCCTTGGTTGATAATGCTGCTGCATCTCACTGTACACCGAGTAACATTGTGAAGGAAGTAGTTTTGGCCTTAAAACGATTGTTTCTCTGGGATTATGCCTTGTAGAATCATTGTGGTAGGAACTGGAGAGCTATTGGACAACTTCTTTGGAGACACCCCATCCAGCGTGACTGCACTTGAACTAAAAGTTTTCCACTCAGTCTCCTCTGCTAGGAGATCTTGCCTCTCAGCCATCTGTGTTTGAAAGCCCTTTGCCAATGTTTCACTCTTTTTTCCCCTGCTAGCTTGCTGTTTCCAAGACTATGCAGAGTGGACTGTAAGTGAATCGTGCATGCTGCTCAGAACCTTAGTAGTCATCCAAAGCAGAGACCTGGAAGAATTGGCTTAGGTACCTGATGATAGCGGTTGGGGAAAGTCAACCAAATATAGAAGGTGAGGGGAACAAATAAAACCTCAGCATGAGAAAAGCAACTCTTTCTTTTCTTATCAATGTGTCTTTTCTGTTTAAGAATTTGTCAAATGATAAACCAACAAATCTCTCTCTCTCTCTCTCTCTCTGTGTGCATACGCGTGACTGCATGCTGGCCTGCATGCTCAGGTACCAACATTTACAAGCTGCTTTCTCCCCCCGCCCCCTTTAGTGCTATATGTTCCTCACATTTTCATATATTTAAATAAGTGACTCATACACTGGTAATTCACAGAATAATACATATGGTCCAGTCACATAGACATTCCTTTCCTAAAGATGCTTCTTCACAATGGCCTAGTACCATTGGTCTTTCTTTGGAAAGAAAAGCTAATGTTTATTCCCTGTGCTGATGGTAATCAAACTGCAACTATCACGAGTAAAATGACATGTTAAATGAGGCTTTTTATTTCTTTGCTGAAAAAGGACCTTTCTCTCCAAATGCAAGGCAATTTTCCCTCATGCTGATTTCACAAGTAGATTCTTTCCACTTCAGATCATGTCATATTAAGTACCTTAAGGGACTTGCTCCCTTTTCCAGAAATACTTTTGTAACACTCTGTAGTAAGAAACCTTCTGTGTAGTTTTAGTTCATCCCTTCTTCCTATTCTCCTCATATCACATACCTCATTCTTTTTCGAATCTTCAACAGAATTGAAGGAAAGATGGTTCCATCTACATTAGCAACACAGGTTAGGCAATGTGCTAACTTTAGTGGTTCAGGAACTGTAGTTCTATGTCTGCAAAAGGTCAGCTTTAATACATTATCAGCTGTTTCAAAAGGATTGTACTGTTATATCCATACTGTATTGAGGAATATATGCAAGGATGCCTTGTGATTTCGCACTTCCCCAATGTTCAAGTTAGTAAAGTTGTTATTAAAATTGTTTTCCTGATGCAGGGGGCTGATCTCAAATGCTTGTGAAATAAAAACATTTTCCTTTTTCTTCCAATAGACTTTGGTTCTAACTCCAGTTAGCAATAGCCAGAAAGAACTGCCTGTTGCTTACTTTTTGACCCAAAGGTTTGAAAGGTTTTCACTAGAACCTTAGCAGTTTTTAAGAATACACCAAGCACAAGTCTGGAAATAGTTTGCCTTGCCTCTATGTGGAGAGTAGGAAGAACAGACAAGTGATGTTCCCTAGCATGGTAGAAGCAATCGTAAGCCAAACAACTGAAGACTTGCTACCCTTTAGTGGCATTCCATAATTTGCCACTTGAGTGAAAGCCTTCATTGAAGGACTAGCCCTAGTGTAGAACTGGATATAGTGGAGAAAAAGTCTTCATCTCACCTTTGCCAGGTCTAGAGAGCTGCACTAGTGATAAGGGGTTCAGTTGCTTCAACAACAGCCTCCTGCCCCATCTCTCCAGGTGTCAAACACCCAGTTAAAGGGAGGAAATGGGAACCTGTCCATGCTGTGCTGTTCTCTTCTATGCCTTTACACAGGGAATCCCATCTCCAGGAAACTAGAACTTCACCAGAGCGATGCTAAAATTGTATTCTTTTAATTGAAGCATTGTCAAGGCACGTGATGCTTTACAGAAAGTGTCTTAAGTAAGACCTTCTGCTCCCACACCCCAAGGTAGCTCCTCCAACCCCTGGGGCTTTGCTTCAAAAGGCCTCAAGTCTAAAAGAAAGAATGGCTGCGTAAATACAGTCACATGCACTTAAAGTTGGCTTGTGCATGCAGTTTAATAGGGTTTTTAATGAAGTCCTTTATGGCATGGCTGTTTCTTAAAAGGCACACCCTTTGCCTGAGTTGGAAAAGAAATGGGAAAAAAACCCTGCATTGATTTGACAAATCTTCATCTTCATTCTCACCTGAATGTATGGGTATACACACCAAGTTCAGATGTTTTTGTCTATGCATAATCATGTTAGGAGTTAATTCCCTCACCCATTTTTTAAGGAGTTGCTAATCTCATTCTGAAGGGCCAGGAATGTAAACCTTTGCACTTAAATGAACTATATGCTACTCATAAGTAGTGTTTTTAAAAAGTAATGCTTCTGTTTCAAAATAGCAAATGTGGATACTGTGACAATGAGATGTAGAATTTGGCCAAAATACTTCACATACATGCTGGGTCTGACACAGGGAATGCGACGGATGGCTCATCTCTTAATAATTGGCATCATTTGCACTACAGTCTCTTTCATAAGTGAAGCACCTTGCGCTCCTGCATTGGGGAATATAGGAGGAGAAACATGAACATCATGTCCCTCCACCAAATGGAATAAAAATAGCCATTTGATGTCGTGACTTAGTGCTTTTTCATATCTGTGTCACTTACCTCATCAAACACCGAGGAATCTAAAATCATCTGAAATGCTGTTTGGTGTTCTGGTCCTTTAGGATACCAAAGGAGTGGGTTTTTTTCCTTCCTGCTACATCATCTGCAAAATAAACGCTTAGTGAAAATCTGAATAAACTGATATCACTGAAGTTGATCCCATGTCATTATCTATTTTTACTCATTATTTTTCTAAGATTAGAGAAGTCAACTCTACATAAAAAGCCCAGCAGTCAAAATTGAAAGTTCAGAATATGTTTCATTTGCTTTGATACAATTGCATTGTGAGTGTTCATCTTAAATGTAACTGAAAATCAAACAATAAACAAAGCTTTACTGTGTTTTCAAGAGTATTTGATAGCAATTGTGTTGATAATGATAAGCTTATTTATTGGCTTGCTTGACCACACTGTATCGTTTCTAGATAAGTCTTATTTAATGAATCATTTAAAAAGGTGATGAATCATTGCTCAGAATTGCCAACTACAATCAGCAACCTGCAGAAGAGTGTTATGGCACCTTAAAGACTAATAAATTTATTATAATACAAGCTTTTGTGGGCAACAGTCCACACTTCATCAGATGCATGAAGCATTACCCTGGCGCTTCTGCTATCATAAATTTGCTGTTCTTTAAGATGTTGTAAGACTATTAGTTGTTTGTTTACTTTAGTATGTGATATCTGGCCTTCATCCAACGCAGGAATCAAAAGTAGTGTACATGGGTTCCCAGGTGGTTTCCCTTCTAAGCACTAGCCAGGCATACACAAACTTGCTCAGTTTCAGCAAGGTGGTTGTATCACATGCCCAATCTCTTAGGCATCCCTTTTGAAAGACATAATCCTGATATTTATTTCTGTTCAATTTTTGATCTACTTAGATAACTCTGAGCCAAAAATTTGAGTATTTATTACTGAGAATATGAGGATCTAGTTAATAACCTACAAAGTAGACCATACTTTAATTAGTTTAAAATACTTAACTGTCTTTGGGGCTATTGACAATTATGGGAATAATTAACAAGGTAATAACAGGATTTGCTTAAAGGTGAGGATAATTTAAATAGTATTGATATATTTACTGAAGTTCTGCATCAAATAAAAAATTGAGGCCTCATGGGCCTTAATGCACCAAAGATTCTTGTTCACTGCTGCTGTAGCAGTGTTTTTGAAGTATGAGGATCAGAAAAACTCTTATGCTGTGAATGCTGTTAACTGATGATACATTCGGAGTTTTGACAATAGCAGTCTAGTAATCTAAAAACAATTCCCCACATTTTATCCCAATCAAAGGAAGTGAATCATGCTTGTGCTGAAGTGTATATAATTTGGGCAAATTGCAGCAAACTTTGGCCCACTGATTTCAAACTATGACTTAAATCTTTTTCGCATATCGCAGACCTGGAGACTCTAAATGCATAAAAGGCGAGCAATATTGAATCGGTAGTCACCATTCTTGAACTCCAGATGTTGAAAGAAACTGAGCCTAGAGAACTTCTATCAATACAGGTTCTTTACCTGTGATCTGATGAACTGCTCAACATACAGCCCCCTATCATGTCGAGAGAGCCATACAACCTGTATTTGCAGGAGCTCTGTATGTTAAGATCTTCCTTTTAGCTGTTAGGATACTGCATTGTTTTCATGATTACTGAACATTTGTCCTAAAATATTGATTTTTTTTGATAGGTGTAATATATTTTTTCAAATAATTTATTTAAGGCAATAAAGTAAATGGTGAACAAGCTTAAGTGAAATGTGTTGCTCAGTTTTCAAACTTTTTGTCAATGTTGGATGAAGTTCTGTGTTATCTGCAAAGACAAGCAATATCCTCATTTAAATTGGTGTCTAGTTCTAGTTCACAGTCTATTCCATTTCTATTTCTAGGAGGAACATAAATGATGACTCTGGGATATAAATTAACATCTGTTTACATGCAAAGAGAAAAAATCATTTTTTTAAAGGAATGTGTGCTGTGTCTCTGTTTTTGCAGTTCTTTATTTTGCTCAGCTT